GTGCTGGGCGCATCGGTATCCCAGAAAGAGAAAAACAAGAACGATGGTTGTGCTGGAATTGCCGGATGACCATTTGCACTCGTAAGGTGTAGGCCATCATGTTGAGCGACGTGACGCGTTCTCGTCGGGTTTGGAAGAGTTTCGTTCGCCGACATCTTTGTTCGTTGCGAATTCATTCTATCGCAAGGAAGCATTGCCAATCGTATCCTTTCTTTCTGGGCTAGATTCGGCGAAAATTGTCCAGCTTGATGAATCCGGAGTTCCAGTTCTGCGGTGTTTTTGCTTGTGTTCCCATTGCAACGACTAGCTTTCATTCCACGGTGTCGGGTCTTCCCACCCCCTAGGCTAGGTACGGGAGGGAAGATCGTGAGTTAGGCGCAATTGTCAAGTCCTACTGAGGCGACAGGTAGCTGAAGAAAACTTGTCCGCTCGGAGTTCCTGATCTACATCGTCCGTGAGGGTTGTGGGGTACTGATGGGGAGTCCTAGCGGCCGGTTTTCGCTAAGGTTAACCGAGGCAAGACGTCTGATGTCTGATTCCTTCGTTCCAAGATCGCGAGAGAACTGCAGTATCACCATACTTGTTATCATTAATTCCTTCGGCCAAGATTGTCCTGTTCGAAGTATCTTGCCAGTGTCAGCCTGTGAACCGTTGCACCGCTTAGGGGATTTCGGGTGCTGGCCTTCCAGTTCATTAATCGGCAATCGATCGTCATGTTCGTTCGCACAGTGACCCGTGCCGTGTATGGCACAAGGCACATTCGGAATAGATATCCAATTGATACGTTACGACGATATTCTGCCGTCAGTGACCTAGGGTCACTTCCTCTCGCGGGATATCGTGTTCTGGACATGACTAGGGTCCTAGCTGGCGTACGTAGCGAAGCATTCCATCATCAATAACCACGTGCACACTTGCTTATATTATGCGCGTTGTAGCCATACTGTACACAGATTCTCGGTGACCTTGGGTACAGGATTTATTGCCTTTCCGACGTGAAGGTCATATGAGCTAACACTTTTATAAGGGCAGAAGTCATTAAGATTGAGCATCCCACGCGTGGGGATGACACGCGCGCTTGGGGTCCGCCCTATGCAACATATAGAGACGGATCGAACCTAGAGGGACCAGGCGAATCCGCCTACTTCTTGGCTGTAATTACACGACATTAGTCTGTCGTCCTACGTAGTCATTACTAATTTTATCCAGGCCAATCGTAACAAAAAATCGTTGGGTTTATCATTCCAACATGCCGAGGGCGTGGATATCCTGCACAAACTAGCAGCAAAATGCGATATTCTCGTCGAGAACTATCTTCCTGGCACTCTAAAGAAGTATGGGATGGACTTCGAGACGCTCCATAAAATCAATCCCAGTCTGATTTACGCATCGATAACGGGGTATGGCCAGACTGGGCCGTACTCACAACGAGCTGGATACGATGTTATGGTCGAGGCGGAGTTTGGTCTGATGCATATTACCGGCAACCGAGATGGACCACCGGTAAAAGTCGGCGTTGCAGTCACGGACTTAACCACGGGGCTCTACACGAGCAACAGCATCATGGCTGCGCTTCTCGCTCGGGCGAAGACGGGCCGGGGTCAGCATATTGATGTTGCTCTCAGCGACTGTCAGATCGCTACGCTTGCTAACATTGCAAGTAGCTGTCTTATTAGTGGGAAGAAAGATTCTGGCCGATGGGGCACGGCTCATCGTAAGTAGAGCAAGGCGATTCTCTTGCTACTCCCGCTGACGACTTCGCAGCATCCATAGTCCCTTACAAGTCATTCAAAACTAAAGATGGCGACATCCTATTCGGCGGCGGCAACGATCGCTTATTCGGAATCTTGTGTGATGGTTTAGGTAAGCCGGAGTGGAAGACGGACCCAAAATACAGTATCAACTCTCAGCGAGTAGCCAATCGTGTCGAGCTGGAAGCCGAACTCGAGAAGATTAGCGTCCAGAAGACGACACAGGAGTGGTTGGAGATCTTCGAGGGCAAAGGCATGCCATACGCGGCGGTTAACGACGTCCAGGGCGCACTGAATCACGAACATTCGAAAGCGCGGAACATGGTGGTCGAGTTGGAACATGAGCAATGCGGACCGATCAAACTCGTTAATACGCCCGTCAAATACAGCGACAGCAAACCTAGCATCCGAACTGCACCCCCTACGCTCGGTCAGCATACAAACGAGGTTCTAGTTGAGATTCTTGGCTTGGAAGCTAACGAAGTGGCCACACTGAAAGAGAAAGGTGCAGTTAGGTAGGATCGAATTGGATATGATGCCACCTAGGTAGGGTCTTGTAGATGGCAATAGTAGTATTGTATATACCTACTTACCAGGTAGATAGAACCGAGTCAATATTCAACCAGTTCAATTGAGCTGAACCTCACCGTAAATGACACAAGACGGTGACAAACATTTCTCACGCAAGAAATTAAATATCCCAAGTAGGACTAGACTTAAAAACGTCACTCTAATCCGACAGTTCGGTAGGAGCTCCCGGAACATCATACCATCACGTGAATATCACGTGAAAGGGCCTCCACATGCGAATTTGAACCTTTCGTTGTCAATTAACCATCTTTGCATCTTTTAATCAAGATGAAAAGAAGATTGTGGTAAATCTACTTGCAAAGGCCTTGGCTAGGAGATTGTTATTTTCGCATTGACACACTTCTGTGGCAGATACTCGCTCTAGACATCGGTCTTGTACATTACCGCTGCATCCTCAGAACTGGCTGTGTAAGTACAACGGTACTAACAATACATAGAGCATTGCACTTCTTTGACATCGCCAACAGAATAAGTCATGGATTCTGGTAAGGAGAAAGAAGGCGATGCGGTTGCAGCATCCACGGAAGCTGCAGCGTCGGTATCGCAGTCGGCGCAACCCTTGGCACAGCTCCCGACGCCGCCAAATCTCCGGGCATCGAGTCCAACCCCTAGCACCACCAGCTCGGCCGGCCGGCCACCTTACATGCCGCAATTTTCGGCAGCTACGCAGATGATACTGAAGCGCATCAATTCTAAGGGTAGTTTGTCATCCGCGCTTTCCTCTGCGTCCTCCGTTGCCAAGGCTAGTATCGAAAAGTCGACATTCGAAGATGCTAAGAGACGTTTGGTTATGAAAATGAACACTTCACTTACAATGCCGATGCCCATGTCATCTTCAACCACTTCAGCACCGAGCACGCATAACTCGTCATCAACTGCCTCCACATTGCGCATGCCCATCCAAGATGCATTCCAGCTTAGGACGCCAGCCCCAGTCAAGACCATGGCAGTAGGAAAACTACCGACTCAGAAGGCATCAGCCCAGAAGGCCAAGGCCAAGGCACAGCGTGGTACGAAGCGCAAGCGAGGTAGAAACGACGATGAGGACGATGCACTCTCGAGTCAGAGCGATCTATCCGACAGTGAAGGAGTTGCTACAGTCGATGCTGCTGCTGCTACCAAGGAGAGCCAAGCTGTACCCACTATGACGAAGTCCGGCCGCCAGGTGCAGAAGCCGTCGCAGTACAATCCCACACAACAATCGGCGCGGGACGCTTCCAATCAGAAGCGCAAGCACTATGGCAAGCGGACTCCCGAGCAGGCGTTGTGCAAAGTGTGCACGCGCGGTCTTAGTCCGGCTAAGAACCAGATCGTCTTCTGCGACGGCTGCAACTGCTGCTGGCATCAGTTGTGCCACGACCCGTACATCGACGACGACTTCGTCAGCAATGAGTCCCGCTCGTGGTTCTGCAGCCGCTGCCTCGCCAAGCGCGAGAGGCATCTGGCCAAGAAGAAAACCGTCGAGTCGTTCAAGGGAGCCAGCTGGGCGGCGAAAAGTGCCGAGCAGGTAGGTTTTGATTCTGTTATCCCTGTACGATTCATTATTCCTAACGGCTTCCCAGAAACGCTCGTATCTGTCCGGTGTGCAGCATAGTCAGCTTGTGAACATGATCATGTACAGCACCGAGCTGCACCCGGACCTACCGATCTTCCCCGTCAACGAGCCTAGACGTGGCGGTACTCAAGGGGTGCGCTCGTCCTACGATAGCCCGCGCATCAAGGGAGATGGCAACATCAACGTCGGCCCAGCGCACTATTCTAGCAAGGTATCGACGCCGGATCCGCATTTAGTAGGTGGCATCGGCAAGGGAAACCCGAAAGCAGCTGCAGATGATCAGGCCGCTAGGGAGTCGTCGACAGATTCGGTACCTCCTGCCTGGCCCAAGGTCGGTAAGGGCTGCTTAGCCGGTCTGGAGATGAACGAGGATGACTTGCGAGACGACAACGACTACGAGGCCTTTAGCGTCACGACCTACGATTCCAAAGGCAACAAGACCATGGAGAATGGAATGCCAGTCTGAAACCAACAACTGTGTCGTGTTTTGACAGCACCAAGAGCAACAACTATGTTTGATATGGGACTACATGTTCTATTATGGACCACCCTCAGTACACGCATTAAGAGCACGTAGTGTATGTGCCTTGCTTAGAACTCCCTCTGTTATTGCCGCAAGAATGGCATTGACATGTAGTAGTCACTTGGGTTTACCGGTCGCTTCTTCGCTGGGAGATGACTAGGTGGTGCAGATCCTGAAGGACCTGTATATATTGGTTGGTCCATTTTTGAGACCCGAGCAGAGAGAGTAGCCCAGTAAAAAAAGAATTCTAATAATTAATCAACTTGAATGAATAGATGCGTGATTGAAATTCTTGAAGAGGATGGCGAGTCGCTATTTGCTACAGACACACAGCTAATGGTCCAAGTTGGCGAGGGATTGAAACATTACAGCATCACAGGCACCATACCGGTAAGTACATATCTTGGGGTAGAGGGGTACCCAAACCTAGCGGTTAAGTTCATATTGGGATGCTTCAGTAACGGAACCAAGGCTGCAGATAGAGACAAAAAATAAATAGGTAGACAGACAGGAAGCTCAAGGAGAAGACGTAAACTAAGAAAGAAAAAAGGGATTAAAACAAAAAAGAATTTGGCAGTTGCGACCAGCACGGGACTCGAACCCGCAATCTTCACCATGCTCCAGTGGGACCGGAAAGTGACGCGATACCATTTCGCCAACCGGCCATTGACATTTCATAGACGCTTCATGTTATCGCCGATCTTAGCTTGGTATAAGTACCCCATCCTTAGCGGTGGGGTCTGTCAAACAAACCTCTTACCCCTTAACCCCTCACAGCTGCATTAAACTCAGCCGACTCTACCTTTTGTAACAACCTTTTTCGTCCTCTTTTTTTAGCACATACTAATAAATCTTAAGACAACTAGCTTCATGTAAGAGGTAGCAAAACAACGCATAATCAAAGGTGTGTGCAGCTAACAAGAGGAAATTACGAGTTATTGTAATACGTCTCATTTATATCCGAAGACCTATCTAAGAGACCTTGTCTTATCAAGTTACATAGGGATCAAAAACACTACCAAGCTGTCTAACATCTCATATTTTGAAACAACTTCCCAGAACCTTCCTTTTCGATCTCTAAAATACCGCTATATCACGAGACATATCATGGCCTTTTTTAATACCTTTCCTACCGAGCTACGGCTTCTCGTTTGGAACCGGGCATTACTCGAAGAGTCAGCGCATCGTATAGTATTATTCGATCACCTACCAAGCACCTCGTGTCACCCATGTTGTCACTGAACAGAGAGAGCCGACGTTGCGCTCTCAAGTTCTTCAGCATGAAATTGAACGTGAACCGCCTGCCAGAACAACCTGATATGGGCTTCCTTGTTGAGAATTATTAATAATAAGGGGTGTCGCTATACAATTTTATCTTTATATTTAATTTATTTTCATGTTAGATGATTTTGATATTATTTTTGCTTTAAACAATCTACTCTTTCACAATTCTATTAAACTCGACCGACTTTACCCTTTAAAACAATGTTTTTAATATCCTTTTTGTTCAAAAAACACATAAGAAGTAACATTGAATACACTTTCATTGTATGTAATATAACAATATCTGATCAAAGGTATCGGCATCTAAAGAAAAGAAAATCAAGAGCAGACAATGCAATGCGAAGATCCTAGAGCTGAAGAATCTGTGAACAACTGCATTGTACTTGCGTTATTACTCGGTCACTCTAGCACGTCACATTCATATTATATGCTTATTACTTCAGGAAACCTGGCCTCATTTGGTTCTATACGGACTAGAGGAACACAGAATCTATATAAGAACACTTTCGGGTTGTCCAGAAACTCATATTCTGAAACTACAGCTTCCCAAGAATCTCCTTTTCGAAACCCAGAATACCGGTACCTCACGATAATACAAGGTAGACACCATGGCCTTTAATACCCTGCCTACCGAGCTACGGCTTCTAGTTTGGAACCGGGCATTGCTCGAGGAAGCATCGACGGGGCGTATAGTATTCTTTGATCTTGATTCTTCGAGAGTCATCCCCACCAAGCACCTCGTTTCGCCCATGTTGACATTGAACAGAGAGAGCCGATATTGCGCCCTCAAGTTCTACAGCATGAAGTTGACCGTGGCCCGCGTGCCAAAAACTCTCGATGGCAACTATAAGAATTCCAGTGCCATTGGCGCTTATAGCACTTTCGTTATCCCCGACGAACCTTGTGGGACTCTGTTCCTCAGCCAGAAACACGACATCTTTGTCACGGGTTTCAAGCTTGGACTCGCGAGACAAAGTTCCTATGACGGACCCGAAGAGCGGTGGTTGACATATGATACCTATAACTACCTAATTCAGCTCCAAGCCGGACGCTTCCCGGCGTACACCACATTGCCGGCAAAAGACTATATTTCGCAAATCGAAAGGGTTCTTATAATACACACTAATACTCGCATTAACTCCCTCTGTATACTGACTAGGAATAGATTTACAGGAATTCAACAGTATTTATTCTACACAGCTTCGTGTAAAAACAAAGATTGCATAAGAGATTGGGTCAATTATCTCGTCGAGCGGCAGCCCGGAGAACCGCTACAAAATACCCAGGCTTTAGAGGAACGTCCCTGGATCTTGTATGAGCTCGAGGGAGAACAGCGCAGGGTTTTAGGTTGGAATAGCTCCCCGCGTGACAGAGGCAGCAGTAAATTCTGTATTTGCGATGCGCCACCCCAGGAGACTCCTGAGGCACGTGAGATGCAATATTGGCATTGGTTCCTGTTATAAACAGCGTTGCCCTTTTGCGAGTACGGGATACTCTAGATGGTGACAAAGACTAGAGTAATCAACCAGCTGTACGTTGAATGCGGCACTTATGTTATACATCTACGGGCCAATATAGTAATATTAATAAAACCATCATTTGCAATAGCAGCTGACTTCATGACCGACTGATAGATCGCTGTTGCATTTTTCGATGTAAATATGTGAGGTATATATATAGCAAATACCACGTAGCACAGACAAATTTGTAATCCGCAAGCAAGGAGCTGCACGAGTTGGGAGGTAGGCTAAGACATTCCGATGTACGTGTGCATATCCCCTCGCAGTTCCTTTTTCGAAGCTGAATATGCCGTATACAATTGATGTGTTCCGACCGACGTCTAGCTCTATGCCCTTCACAGATTCAAGCTCGTCAGCGGAAACGTACAGGTCCACACAATCCCGCATCAGAGCTGCGAGAAGACTGCACCGGATATTAGCAGATTAGCAGGTAGACTTCATCACATAGTTCGGCCCCCGACGTCACTCTGGCGATATATTATCGACTCCACGGGAGAGCTTTGATTGGGTTGTGCATCTCTCTTGCATAATGGCATTGCGTCCTCGTTGTAGGCGGCACCATGAAACAAAGAGAGTTACTCCAATTGATCTGCTCTTATTAGCGGTTAGGATCGAGCGACGTACCATCAATAAGGAATAGAATGCATATTAATTTGCAGGCATGGTCTATTCGATTGTCCTTTGGTTTCGGGAAGTACAAGCATGTTACACGAGAAAACCCTGTATTCACGAATGCGGAGATGAAAGGGTAGCATAGGTACTGGTGTGAAGATACTTGGAGGAATCTCATTGAGGCCGGACGTAGCCACCATCTTTTCTTCTTACTACAGATAATAGTAATAAAGGGATGAATAGAATAAGAAATAATATCGAGAGTTGAAAATCGGCATCAGTTTGAGATATCATGATGTGAGTGAGTCTTTTCCCCCTTTCCCCCCTTTCCCCCTTTCCCCCCTTTCCCCCCTTTTCCTTTAGAGAGGAGCTCTGTGGTTACACGGCTGACGACGTACGACCAACAACCAACACAATCCGCACGATCTAGGTACTTTACAAATTGTGCTCAAATATCGGCATGCGAATGTCGGCATCGATCTGCTACGCGTAGTTGATCCTTTTTCAATCCCATCCCCCGAAACTTGAGCCGCCATGGCGCCGAATGCCGACATCATACATCATGGGGTTGACATTCACGGCGACCACGCACCACGTCCCGTATCCGGCCATTAATGTCAAATCAAACTCTCTACCATCGCCTTTCAACGTATGCATTGTAGGAGCAAGCCGTGACATTGGTGCGAATATAGCCTATTCATTTGCCACGGCGGGCGCTATGGCGATTGGCATCTGTGCCCCCCAAGCCGAAATTGACGTTTCTCCCATCCCCTCCAAGTTACGCGAGCTCAACGACTCCACTCGCTTGATCTATCTACCATGCGATGTCACGATTCCATCTGAGGTAGAAGCGTTCGCTTCCAAGATGGAAGATGCACTGGGGTATATCGACGTACTGGTTTATAACGCTGGCTACTTTGGGCCATGGGAGACACGCACCGCCAGTACGCCCCACGACTTCTCCACCGCTATGGACGTGAATTGCAAAGGTCTTTATCTGGCGGCCCATTTTATGCTCCCACTGCTTAAGCGCAGTCCTCGCGCAGGCGGTGGAGCCGTTATATCGATCTGCTCGATCGGGATGCATTCAACAGGAGGCCCAGGGGCAAACACGGCTTATGGTATCAGTAAGCTAGTGCAGTGTCGATTCATAGAGATGCTAGCAGCAACAGAGCCCGAAATCTTCACTGCCGCCGTACACCCGGGAAATGTGAAGACCGAGATGGGCAAGGTAACCCCCAAATATATATATGATGGTACGATCTTCTGCCCGCACTCGAAGGATTTGACACTGATGCTAACGGTAGCGCTTCCCGATGATCCAAGTCTTTGCGGCAGCTTCATTGTCTGGCTCATCAAGAAACGTAGGATGTGGCTCAGCGGAAGATACCTATCGTCGAATTGGGATGTAGACGAGCTGGCGTCTAAAGAAGCCGAAATTGTCCACGAAAATAAGCTGAAGATGCGAATGGTGTGGTAATTCGGAAGACAGGACAGGGCCAGCTTGATACTTGCGCATTTGCCAAGCTTGCTACCTCTAATGCATGCTCTTTATGGAAGGCCAGTTAGATAAAGAGCAGTTCCTTATGAGCTCGTGAAAAAAAGGGGGAGAATTTTCGAAAGCGACTCATTATCCAATCCTGATCCAAAAGCGCAGAAGGTATTAAGCTTCAGCATTGATTCTGGCCCCAGGCTGTTTGTTTTCATGATTCAATGTCAGCAATTGGCGCAATAGTATTCACATTGCTGAGGAAGAGTGAGATGCAGCCTGTGACGAAATCTCACTTACAAGCAGCACGAGACGCTGGCGGCGATGCACTCGATCTAGTCCCAAATTATGGAGATTTTTACAGCTTTTAACTTGGTAGTTGAATATACGAACGAGCAAAATGATGCCACCGTCATGGCCTTCAACACGGCACCCCTCCATGCTCTAAACATGTCTTTGACAGTTAGCATGACAACGTTGGTACAATGGTGGCAGATAGGTACTCACTTGGTATTATCTTGTAGTTTTGCTCGTTACCCTGTCGACTTGAGCGCCGTTGCCCTGCCTGCAGAACCATACTGCCTATCAACATCCCACCCATCCTCATTCTGCCACTCTTACGCTACACAATGACCCCAGCCTTGAATAATCATCTACCGTCTGTTTGATGATCGCCAACACACCCAAACACTAAAGCAATCACGCAAACCACTTACGATAGTGCGTTGTCCTTCCCCTGGACAGCTCATTTCATATGTGA